TAAAATGCTGGACCAGGTTTACGAGCTCTTGTGGGATAAATTCTTTTGATGGTGTCTCTCGTAAGGGAAGCCGGCTAAGAACATCAGCGGTGGTATTCTGTTTGCCTGGAACGTACTGAATTTCGTATGTATACTCAGAAAGAATAAGCGACCCACGTACCATTCTAGGTGAAGCCATTTGTTGAATACCTTTCTCGTGGCCGAGGAGGAAAACAAGGGGTTTATGATCCGTATGGATTACAAAAGGTCGCCCGAGTAAATATTGGTGAAATCGAGTGGTGCCGAAGATGACAGCGGCTGCCTCTCGATCAAGTTGAGAGCAGTTCCGTTCTGCTGGTGTCAGGGTTCTTGAAGCATAAGCAATGGGACGTTGAGAGCCATCCGGTAATTTGTGCATTAAAACAGCTCCGAGACCGGATGGTGAGGCGTCACAAGAAAGAACAACAGGCTTCTGCGGATCATAATGCACCGGAACATCTGTAGATGCTAAGAGCTTCTTGACGGCTTTGAATGCGTTTTCATGAGTATTGTTCCAATTCCAGCTTTGGTTTTTACGTAACAGCTGGTGAAGGGGATGCAGATGAGTTGCTGCCGATGGTATAAACCTGGAAAACTGAGTGACAACACCGAGGACTAACCGCAATGCATGAACATTTTTGGGTGCTGGCGCTTCAAGTAGCGCCTTTGTCTTTTCTTCCAATGGGCACAATCCTTCACGTGACAACCGATAGCCCAGATACTGTACACTCGGAACAAGGAACTCACACTTTTCTCTTTTTAGAACCAAACCGGCATCCGATAACCGCTTCAGGACGACGTCCAATGTATGTAAGTGCTCGGCGGTAGTGCGTCCAGTAATTAAAATGTCATCTAAGTACGCACATGTGTTTGGTATATCTTTCACAAGTGAGTCAATAATACGTTGAAAAATAGATGGAGCCGAGCTTATTCCAAAAGGCATGCGTATATAGCGGAATAATCCGAGATGAGTACTAATGGTGGTGTACGTACGTGATTCCTCATCGAGTTCAATTTGTTGGTAGGCATGACTCAAATCTAGTTTTGTAAATAGATCACCACAGGAAAGGGAAGCGTAAATGTCTTCAATCTTTGGTAGCGGATATCGGTCTAATTCTAACGCTTGGTTTATCGTAACCTTGTAGTCCCCGCAGATTCTTATCGTACCATCGCTCTTCAATACTGGCACAATGGGGGCTGCCCAGTCTGAATACTGGACGGGTTCAACGGTACCTTCCGACTGAAGTCGGCGCAGTTCACTTTCGACCTTATCACGGAGGGCATAGGGAACAGTGCGAGCTTGCTAGAATCGCGGTTTTGTTTGTGGTTTCAATACCAGAAGTGCACTGTAATTCTTTAAAAGTCCTGATCTCGACTGATCAAATAAGACTGCATGCTTCTGCAAAATCTCGGATAACTGCGGATTGTCTTTCACCAGGTTGAGGTTCGACATTATGCCAGGAAAGCGTTTAATTCCATCGCGGCCCAGGATGTTTGGACCCGGTCCTCCAGAAACGTACACACACATATGACTCGTTGAATTACGGTAAGAAATGAGTGCATTGAAGGTACCAAGCACATTCACCATCTGTCCAGTGTAAGATCGCAACTGTATGTTCGATGGACACAGCTTCGGAAGTTGGGATAAGGCGTCTGCTCGGATCAAAGTGACTGCGGAACCGGTATCCATTTCAAACTCTACCGGTTGTTCGTTCACTTGGACGGATACGACAAACGGTTTTTCTGCTGTAATGGTACGATTAAAAACGGTTGTGGTGTTAATCCAATTCTGGTGCAATTCATCGGTAGCCTTAGATTTTTCCTGGACGAGTGATTTCCGCTTGGAGAGACACATTTTCTGAATGTGACCCATTTTTCCACAAAATCTGCATAATGAATGAATGTGCGGACAGTCAGTCGGGGACAAGTGATTCTCTCCGCAACGGTAACAACGGAATTCCTTGCGCTGTACGGGGCGAGGTAAGGCATATCCACGGTTAGTCTGGTAGACCTTGTTTACGTCATGTGAGATTGATTGATTTGAAGAGGAAAATGTGGCTAGTTCCTGGACGAGGTTGGCAAGCCGTCGGACTATATCACCTGCTTTTTCCCACGTCAGTGGCGTTTCGTCTTCAGAGAGCAGACGTTCTCGTGCCTTCTCATCGAAAACACCCACGATTAATGCCTGTAACAGCATCGCTTCTTCGAACTGGGCTGGAAGGATCTGATCATAGGCGCAGTCAGGGAGAGCAGTAAGGAGACAAGAGATAAACTCATTTACAGTCTCATTTGGCTGTTGTCGCATGGTGCTGAATTTATACCGAGCAGTAAACACATGGGGCTTTTCCCCCCATATTCGGTCCAGGGAATAGAACACAGTTTTTAGGTCTCGCTTCGTATGTAATTGTAAACGGTCGAAATGTCGCTGGCCCTCGATGCCGAGATGGTGGCGTAGTAATTTAATTTTCGCTGCATCATCAATCATGCAATTTCCGCCAAGGAGCAAAAGCAAATCAACGTAGTTAGTAAATGTAGTTTTCCACTGCAACCGTTGTTGTGCAGTAGGCCTTTCAGTAGAAGAATTCCAAAAGGGTTGGGGTGCCGTTATTGAATTTGCCATGAGCAATCAGAATAACCTCCGTCGCCAAATTGTTACACTCAACCGAAATCAGAACAACAGTATTGTAAATGGAAGTTTAGTAGAAGTAAGGGCAATGGTACATCGGCAGTCCACACTGGGTAGACATCAACTGTTTAGTTTTTTGCAGTCCACATGTTTTAGCTAAGCACACTCTTTTTGAACCAATCAATAAGCGTCACTGGTTTGTCGGGAGATGTACACTCACGCACTAGCGCGCACCATGCGGCTCCACAGGCTAGGTAGTGTAACATGACCTTGGCGCGCTCAACCTCTGCATCAGTTTCAACCGGAAAACGCAACAATGTGAACAGTCCTCCGGGTATCATAGCGATTAGGAACTTTGCATTTTGTTCATTCGAGTAGTTTGGTGAGTCGCCTAAAATCAGAATTTTCATTTTTCCCGCTGGTTTTATAATGAGCCTTCTGGTCATCCTACGGGTTTTGGCAGGCACCTACTATTTTACACGGTATATATCACTGTTCATTGTTTATTCCATATCAGCTATACTAAGAGTCTCAGTGGAGAGATTGGAATGTCTTCATCTCCGATTGCGAAAGAACAGCGGTTTTCTTCCGTTATGTATTTCAATATGGCATCAAATCCAGTCTTTGCTTAAAGGAGCATAGCTGCGAGTAACTGACCACAGGGCACTATCAAAATGTGCAGATATAAAACCAATGCTAACAATGTTATGGGCCGTAAAGAAACTGCTAAAAGTAACTGAGTTTGGACTGATTCGGGTTGGCTCAACTGAAGGGGGGAACTGTCGCATATAAAACATTGACACTTGTCTATCAGGTACATGTCATTCGCTACATTCGATTTTACGCACTCGTACGCATCTCTTCTGTCATTCTCTTATGAGCAACATAATTCCACACAAGCGTAAAAATCGATAACCTTGTTTTCACTTCCGTTATTAACACTACGAGCTCTGTCTTCATTCGTGTGATTCAATTTTTTGGGGAAAATCTGGAGTCCTACAGCCGGCGAACGATAGAATGTTTTTGATTGCTGTTATTCTGAAGTTCACCCTAACCGATTAGTGCAAACTCTGTGGATGGTAAAGATTACTAGATGTTAGTGTAAATTTCCCCCGCGTTATCTTTGAAGGCGATTTTTATAGCATCCAGTAATAATAATAATAGTAATAATAATTGGTATATTTCCCGGCGATGCGAGGTGCAGTCCAACTAGGTGCACAGCAAGGTCGCAAAAACTAAGCAATCTGTTCACGCTTTATACAATGGATCCAAAACGGGTATTAAGGTAATTGACAGGTTTAAGGTATTAAAGAAATTAAAAGATCAGGAACAATAAAAAATGCAGATTTAAGCAAATATCAAGGTATGGTAATACGACCATACGTGAAAACCTCCCCAGGGGACCTGCATCCATGCAAGGTATTCGCTCGAATGGTTTCGCCCGCACTTCCATGCTATACCTGGCCGCGTGCCAGTGTGGCATAGTAGCGTACAAGCCATCACCTGTTTATCATATCTTGTGTTCCTTTTAGGGCTGCTTTTATACATGTATTATGGGCAATGAAGCCTCAGCCCAGTCCATCATGCGGATCATTCAATTATGGCACTTTTTATACGCCAGTCAGTTGGTGGCGATGTGCCATGCATAGGTAAAGTCGTTTATAATCTGGAAGCCATAATGCGTCACCACAGGAGATCAGCCCAGTCGTGGCCAACAATGAAATAAGGAAGAATGTAGAAGCAGAAGAATTGTGTGAGAGAGGTACTATGTCGTTAATGTAGAAACTAAGCAGGTATGTTTTTACGTCAGGGTAACAATGGATTGAGCCGATCATACGTTGCTTCCAGCTAAAGATTTAACGACGACATCTGTAAATGGATCATCGTGTATCCCTTTGTGATGCACTGAATTATTTGAAATCATTTAATACTCCGCCTACTTGCCATGAGCTTTCGAAACTAGTATTGGCTTGCTTTATATCTGCTAACGCATTTAACTACCTACAATGTTGCTTAACTGTCTGGCAGCTTTTTGTCCGGGAAGGTTACTCACTACCGCGCAATAACACTGTACACTTAGAGTGACCGCTTCCGACAGTAAAGTGCACTTCCATATCATGTATCGTAGATAATTCAGTTAACAAACTGTTATACTAGCATGAAGTTTTCGATTGCCATCTGAGTGACTCGTGTTTGTTAAGTTTTAAATTACCCCATACATTGGAATTGGGTAACTTAGCGTCTCGCAGCCTAACCGTGACACGACAATATTGCGATCCGCACCATTGTCCAACGCTCTACAAATTGCCACTTATCCGTAAGTTGGTAGTATTATGTCTCTCATGTTATCCTTCAGGCACAATACCAGAGAAGTGAATTGGAAAGTTATCACCAAGCTCGTTCTGAGGGTAATACCTTGAGAAACGAACTGCGATCAAAAGAAGCTGAAGTGAGTCCTCATCATTATCAGTGTTTCACAATGGGCGATCTTGCTTTCGTGTTCGTGAGTGCAGAAAAGACGCATACGCCTGGATTAAAGGTTGCCGACAACCAATTTTACGGTTTACTTCAATTCAGATGTGAAAACAAATCAGTGTGCTTCAATGACAGTGAGAGAGAGAGTCCTTATGGTGTCGTAGGTTCCCTTAGTAAGTAAGCAATCCACATGTGTAAATAAAGTTGACTCGTTTACTTCGAGGATATGAGATTCTAAAGCCCTAATCCTTAGAGCTACGGTTTCACTAAGGCCTAGCAGTCAATGATACTGCCCCTCCAACTTCCATTTGGAGATTCTTTTTGACCAGAGGTGAACTTCCGACCTAGTGATTTGGTTCTAAGTGAGCCTATTCCTCGTGATGCTTAACGACGTTTTGCCTGTAACCTGCGAAGCGTTGAATTCAAGCTGGAGAGTACTGATAGAAAACCAGCTCGGTACCTTCAAGACCCCCAACGAAGCGCAAGTAATAAGACTATAGTCATGTTCCATCTCTCATACCATACGTCGGTTGGAGGTGAGAGTCCGAGAATCTCTATCCGATGCAATTGATGTGGGGTGCGGTGTACCGCAAGTCTCGGTTCTAGGGCCATGTCTATTCATAGTTTCCATATATGATCTAGTGAAATCAGTTAGTTCCGATTTCTTGTCCTTCGCAGATGATATTAAGATATGGCGAGCGATCAAATGACCGGACGAACGGCTCCAGTGCGATCTTAACATAACTTTTAACTTGTCCATTCAGAATGCTCTACCATAGGTGTAAAAATGTCGCGTTGTTCACTGATGCCATGGACATGATTACACGTATTGGTTTAGATCAAACAGATTGCAGACCATCTCCCAGGAACGTGACCTTTGTGTGCTCGTACAATGTAACCTTAGCTGTTCAAAACAGTCTGAGGCAAATGCGAAAAGAGGTAATCAGCACGTCGACCTGCTGCGAAGGGCATTCGGGAGATCTGACCCATCAGTCTTCACAGTGAGGCATAATTCCTACGTGCGCCCTCACGTTGAATACGCCATCCAAACTTGGCAACCTTGATTGAAGCGGGACCTAGAGGCACCACAACGCGGGGCAACAAAGAATGTCAAGGGCCTACTAGGTTACGGTTATCAGCGAACACTGTAGTTCTTGGAGTTTTTAGCGGACTACGGAAGGCTATGAGGCGATCTCATATTAGCGTACCGAATATTGAGTGACACCAACCATGTATGCCACCACTTGCTGAGACCTAGCTACACAGCAGGCTGAAGTAACTGTTTAAAACTGAGCGAACAATACAGCGGTCCAGAGTGACGACGGAATTACTTTTCTCTTCGGGTTCGCCAACCCTGGAACTTTCTTCCGAACTCAGTTGTATCCTCTCCTGCTTTGAACATTTTCAAAAAACAATCAAATGTTGCTCTTAGCTCCCGGCACTTCGTTACTTAAACTGCGCTATTGTGTATCACATTAGTGATGCCTTTTTTACCGAATTTATGTGTCACATGGACCCGAGGGGGCGGCACACGAGTGCGCGACCATATTTTACTTTGCGCACGCTTTACATCAGCGACCACTGCAACCTGAGTTGTTCTGTGTGCTTGCATTCTATATCTATTTTCCGCTTATGTTAATTATCCACGTATTCCACTCGGTATACGCTCGATAGATGAATTGCATAGCTTTGCTTTTATAGTATTCATCCCAACCATCGTACTGGACATGCCAAGCACTTGCTTTTTAACTCTTGATAAATCGTTGTTTATCGTTGATCTTAGCAGGAAATCCTGGGAGTATACGGCCGATGTTATCGATGTCTACGGAATGAGCTCATATTTAAGTACTAAATTCTGGAGTACCCCAACAATGTTTGCAGTCTCCCCCTGAAAGGCAGCCACAAAACCAACCAGATTAGCAGTGCAGCTGCTCCCTCATCTTTTGTGTCGCGCAGCGTTCTAACGATTAATGATACTTCTGCACCAAACTTATTCATCTTAATAAAATGACTTGAGGCATTAAGCCATTTGAATTGTGTGTTATGATAGGTGTTCATTGGGAGACGACAGAAAGCAAACCGATGCTGCGCTCACCGACCTTTCCATAAGAACGTAGTGAGCGATATCACACATCTATCGATAACTATCACGGTGGACTTAATGACGCACATTATATCTTATAGATGGGTCCAATTTACTTCTTCAATTTTCAACCTAATCATCCGGCGGCACTTGGTAGACGTTGGCTGTTAACCCGTGCTAAACCGATGTTCTGTTTTTGCCAACCAACATGAAGCGATTATTATTGTGACCGTAACACACCGAGGAAATTTTAATCATTTGTGACTCCGTATCCTGCGATGCGGTTACCGCAATTGTTGGTACAAGCCGTCTATATGAAATGACGCACGTGTTATGGTCCGCAAGAGAGCTTGTCACTTTAATACAGATTTTAACTTTTCCAACCAATAGTGCAGTCAGCTGTTTTTCTCTCATTGGCTAACAGTTTACTCGCAGTCCTTGATGGTAACTAGTAAAGCGGACCATCTACGCTACGTATTGGCTACCATGGCTAGGAGAGAAGGAAGTTTTCAGTGATTTGTTAGGTATTCAAAGAACTGAATCCCCATGCAGAATATTTGCACACGTTGCACAGGCCATTTGTTCGTCTATCGCCTTGAACGAACAAATTAGCACATTTTCCAATCTGATAACGCTGCCGGAAATGCGGCCATGTCCACAGAGACAAACTGACAAACCAACCAAAGCAGTAAACCAGTCAAAGGGTTTCAGCACACTAATACAAATCTGACTACAAGTCAACTTGATGTTTAAGTAGCCTGTAATTTGTAGACAGTGTATAAGCGGTTGTATTCAGTTAAGGTCTCTAGTTTGTTCCTTTGTTTTAATCGATGCTTTCGACTCACAGGGACACCAACGGATGCTAGTTGGATTGCTAGAGACCTTTTGCATCGTTTACACCTCTGTTTACTACTCCACAGATGTACTTCACGGGACCATCATGAACGCGTTTCCATTCGCGTTTTCCACCCTCATCATGACTGTTGACTTCCTCTTTGTTTGCCTGTGAAGCCAAAAGCACCGTAAAAATACTCACTGAAGGGCTGTGTTTACTGCTTCCTATGGGCGTAAACATATTCACAGACGCATCGACGTTGAATCCACATACACATCTAAAATAAATAAATAGGTTTGTATATTTACCGGGAAGCGTAATTCGGCCCCTAAGCGGGAACGATCATCGTTGGCCTTCGCTGTGTTTACCCACTATGGCTTTCCCGGACTTCAATCCATTGAGTTAACTAGCTGGAATTTCTTCCTGCTCGTATACAGAGAAGCTGAGTTGTTAGTATACTACACACTGTTAACACTGTACTGCAAAATTTTGTTCACAAGGTTATACTCGCTAGTGAATTCTGCTGTCAAGGATGAGGTAAACAAAGAACGTTCCATATATTCTGCACTTGAGTGGGTGTATACGAGATGCTCAGAGTATTGCTTCAGAAAAAAAGATAGCGGTAGACTGGTGATAAGTCACTCGATGTCGAAACCATCCGATTGCACATTTGGTAGACACAGTAAATACAGCATCATTTTGCTGATTTCCTCCGAGGTATTTTTTATTTTTGTCACTAAAGAAAACGATCCACCTCGGCATCGCTTTGGCTGGACCTGAAGCCAGCGACGACTGAGTGACACAGCATGTTGCATGGATAAAGAAGTGCAAGTGCTTTGTTAGGTCTTGTGTTCACCTGAGGGATACACTTCGAAGGCAACAGTTAGTTTTCATTTCGATGGCTTTAGCATACTAAGGTATGGCTCGACGCTGTTAAAAGCAGCTACTGGTACGATGTGAGAATCTCTGGAAACCGTTGGAGTAAGGCAACAACTTCGGTTTGCCAAAACGACTCCCTTTTTTCATGAATCGGAACCTACTGATTTGGTTATATAGCCTAAATTCAAAACTGGGTATAATGTGATCCAACTTCCTGTAGCATTCCTAAGCTTTGAGCTACATGCGTGATAGGTTGATTAGTATGCGATACCTTGATCCAACCATTCTAAATTTCAGTCTTTAGCCGCTTTGATCCCAAAGAATAGTGTGCTTTTACAAAACACGTCAAACGCAATGTTTCGCTTATTTCAGATAAAACAATTGAACATACAATACGATCAGCTGACACGTGAGTACGAAAATCTCCAACGCAGCATGGAACAAATGACCATTGAGTTGAGTACCGCCCATGCTCAACTACAACAGTTGCGTGATCTACCGTCTGTGGAACAGACTATACAGTCGAGCAGAGAGACGAATGATGAGACAATGCGGATTATGAAACAGGAAATTAAAGAAGCTGCGGTTGTCAGGAATCAAATGGAACAGGAGCTTGCGAAATTGCAATCGGAAGTCCAGATGACCAGAGGACAATTGGACGAAAAAATACAAGACATAGCAATTCTCGAAGGATTTCGAGTAGGATTTAGCACACCTTTTGTTTTTTTTCAGGTTGTTGTTTCATTTCTGTGAAATGCAGTTGATTTTTGGGTGTGTAAGTAGTTAAACAAGCTGCACCTGGTAAAGTACTCAGCCCCTATGACTAGCGAATGACAGTCCTGACCAGGGTACGTAATCGAGTACCAGCATTAGACAGTAAATGAAATTGAACGCAGTGGGCTACAAGAAGACGTGGACAGATAAAGCGAACGTGAACGGGCCTCAGCAGTGACTCACCAAGCAGACGAGTAATGGGTCGGATGTAGGCCAACAAAAACGGTGTGTAGTCAGTCAGTACTAACGATTGCACATAAACGATAAAAATTATCCTTTGAAGTGCTACAGGCTCCCGCATTGTTCAGCACTGCATTTTTCGAAACGAAATACATCGGGTGGTAAGACATTACGTCGATTATTCGATCATTAACGCGCTGTTTTTCTTTACAAAAGACGAAACAGCAAGAAGATATTAGAAATCTCCAAAGAGAGCTGCAAATGGCGCGTGCGCAGCTTGAAGATCTGGGTGGTTCAACGGAAGCTGATTCAAACGGTGGAAAATTGGTGAGATTGTTGTTATTCGCCTATGTTGCATCTGCCTTATGTTTAAGAAATCAATTTGCACGATTTTGCATGGTGAATTGTCTTATCAAACTCTGTTCTATATTTTATGGTTCCGCTTCAGAAAAAGTCTGCACATTCGTAGCATTTGTATCCTGTGTGGAAAATAACTATTTCCAATAACATGCATGCCACATTCTGCTAAGCTCCATGAAAAAGTGTCCAATCCAGGCATGCACTTAATTTTTCAGTCTTTAAAAGCAGAAATCGACACTTTGAAGCGCGAGATTTCAAGGCGTGACGACACAATTACCGCGATGGAGAGAGATTGTGTAAGTTCTGTTGGCTGAATTTGTGTTTTTAATTTTTAAGAACATACATTCGCACTTATTCTTCGGTGAATTGTACCAGGATGGAAACATCAGGAGTGATTCATTCTGTGGGGTTCGAAATTTTAAACTACGTATACACGGGGCATCCATATTCTTAAGTCAATACATGATCTACTTGGTATCTCAGTTATTGTCACAAATGCCCATCCTATGTCCATATATCTTTGTGTAACTTAAATAATGCATGGTGGTTTGCCTATTATTTTTTTGGTATCTCGCTCATTTAGACCATCCTGGCTTTACAATGGGCAGCGAAAGGATCATCATCAACGTTTACATCCTATCTGTATACCATCCAGATTCAAACCTGGACCAGCAAAAGTTCCATGGGTCCACTTAGTGTATCATGGGGAGAAGGTTGCACACCTTTACTCACAGTGGTTCACTGGAGCACGAAACCTCCGCACCGTTTAAGATGGGAGAACAACTAGGACGGTTGTCATAATTCCTTCGCTAGCCTAATCGAACCACAAGGCACTACGGTGATAATTTTAAGCACTGGTTACTCGTTCTGTAGCCTGTATGCATTCACTGAATTCTACTCCCGAGGAATCCGCTTACGGTTCAATTTCAGCAAGAAAAACATCTGCGTCGTCTGGAGGCATTGCACACTCAGCTGCGCAGGTTTGAAGAGGAGACCGAAAACTTGAACAAAGTGTTGGACGAACAAAGAGCCGGATTAGAGGAGCGTGATCATGTAATCCGTCAACTCCGTTCACAGCAGGTTTGTTGATAAATGTATGTATTCTGGTCAAGGTTGTAAAGAGTTATGTACCTGAATCCAACAAAAGGTTTTCTCAAAACTACAGCACTAAAGTGGATGTGCGAAGTTAGTGCTGTGAAGTACTTCCAAAAATTCAGCAGCGCGTTAGCTTGATAGTATTTGAGCTCGGAACTACCTAACCAGTGGGCCCTTTTATTCCATGAAGGAAAGCAAATAAAAAAAGCAAAAGTACATTTTTTAAACTCTGCTTAGTTCATCTGCTTAAATCTACTGCAGCACAGGCCCCTCATCGAGGTAGTATCATCATGTACAGCCCAACCAACATTGATAAGTAAATGTTCCGTGCGACATATATATATATATATATATATATATATATATATATATATATATATAGATATGAGACATGAATGTAGGTGTAGTGATATCCGTTCAAATCCGTGGTTTGTTTTCAGGGCTTAATTAGAGCACGATGACTCAGTGTTATCACGTGGGACACGTTGCGACTACCTTTGGGTATTACGGAGATTATTTCGCGTAAGTTTACTGACCTTTCTGCCTTACTTTTCCTTACTTCTGTGCAATCAGTGGTTAGACTGTCTAAAGATTGGAACTATACTTCACTTAGACATTTGGCTCATTTGTACACCACTTTAGGGGAAAGTAAGGAAGAACTGGTAAGACTCAGCTACGCTTTTGAGCCGTCGTATCTGTGTCATAATTACAAACCAGATATAATTTTAGTTTACTCATGAATGAGTGATTTCGATGCATATGGATGAGAGCGTTTTGAAATCCTAACGGTCTGGCGCTTTTCTACATGGATTAGTGTCAAAAGCTTCTTAGGTTCGTTGCATACCAATAGTAGCCATAGGTTTGATTCCTGTTGCAGCCGCTAATACGCACTACCGACAGCATCGAGGAACGGCCTTCCAGTGCTTTTTATGGCATGTAGAGTACTATCTGTCTTAGTTAATACTGCGTGAAATTCTCGATTAGTTGCACAATATCGTGGTTTGGTGCGCTCACGGTGCATTTTGATTGCGACACGAAATCTTTCTTGACTGCTCTGATCAATTCCAAGCATACCTTGGACCTTCCGATCATTACGATATTGTTTGCAGTAGAGAAGTTTCGATATTGCTCAAGGCCTCTGCGGCCGTATGGTCAACGCGTCGGCCGCCAATCATCACCTCTTCAGCTTCCTTGTGCTATTGTGCTGCATGCTAACGTACCTAGTTCCCGAAAAGTATAAAATCATACTGCGCGAAGTCTACCTACACGTCTCGGACATAGTGAAGCATTATGGCAAGCTTCATCGTTCCTCACTGTTAATAGCGATGAACGACAGGGCTAACCGATGTTCCCATTTCCTTACAACTTCGCGATTGAAGAAATGCTGTCGATAGTTGCCGTAGGTTAATAACACGAGCCTGTATCTCTTATCTGGTAAGCGGGCGACTAACTTAGACTATAAAGATTACATCGCATTACGTGTTGATGACTAGCAGAGTATACTAACCACTTTGCACCGTTTAGTGATTAAGTATCTAACTATGTAATTTACTTTGACCTCTAGAAGTATGAACTTCTGCTTCATGCTTCGCACTAGGCCGTTCCGATACTCACTCCTCAATGTGAGCAGCTTGAACACGTTGAATGCTTTGTTTAACTGGGCACCTGATTATCTGTAGGTTGCACTACTGAAAATGACCATTCTCTCCTCTCTGCCTAATTTCGGTGGTCGGTGTTAACCTATAACCCTTGTGGCCTCTCGGGGATTTATGCCTCTTAGTTAATTGTCACGTGTACCATGCCACTTTCCTGACGACGTTCCTATATGGTAGCTAGTCGTGACCAGTTCTTATGCATGATATGCGCCTACTCTATGCCTTCGATAATCGGTGCTTAGGGAAGATTGATCGCTTATGATGGCTATTAGGTGTCCGAATGATCAACTCAGAAGTCGTGTCTTATGAATTCGAGTATTCCTTTCTACAAGCTAGCATTGCTGCGTCAGTTAAGATTGTTCGTTCATCCGTTGCGTATGTCAGCTTGGCGTCTGGCCCATCGCGCCCTGTTTGCTCGTGCAGAGGTCGGCTGGAAGAGAACAAGAGGTAGTCAGCCATCTACTTGGCGACAGTACATCAATTGTATGATTTCACGACCTGTTGCCCTTGGATCCATACATCCGCCTGGTTGGGGAGCTAAGGACGAAGAGTGCCAATGGCTAGTAACAATTCAGGTAATCGCGCTCACCCGAATACATTGGAAGATCTGTGGACACAGTTGCTTAGATTCAGATACTTAACGTCTAACAATATGGCAACAAGGAAAATACGAATAAATAACGCGCGCCAGTATCACAAAGAGATGATTTCCTTTTGCACAACAGCTGAGACGTTTTTCTCAACATCAGCACGTGTCTAATGATGATATTGCAGCGAATGTACCTTCAGCTTCCGATGATGTGCATGAGTTTGACTGTTTCGACGGTTATTCAGTAGATCATATATCTATATATATATATATATATATATATATATATATATATATATATATATATATATATATATATATATGTGTCCCATGCTGAGGCTGATGTTGCATTCTTGATGCTTCTTCGCCGCAGCTGGGGTTAAGCTACATACACTTAAACTAGGACTCTCTAAGCTGCATCAACTTCATTTCAGTTTAATTTGATAGTTTTATCTATCTGAATAGTCTTCTATTTGCTTGTCCCGTCGCTTACGCTAACTGCGCATTTCTTCTGTAATTTTTTCGCTTTTGTCGCATTTTTGAGTTATTGTTGACATTTTTTACTTATCGCGGATTCATTGCTAGCCAACTTACTTCATATGCTAAATTATCGAAGAGTTATGCCATCGTATCTATATGCAATATTCGATTTTTTTTATTTTATTTTGTAGTTTCTAGTGATTGGCTGTTGCGTGATATGCCCTGTGTCGCTGCGCGTGACGTGCATGTTGACAATGTACCTACCTCTCTATTATCCACTACCTCGTACATACTGGCTACAGGAGACAGTTAGTCGTTGCTGGAGGGGACGGGGTGCACGGTCATTGTGGCCGTGCTAGGCTCGAAGAGTGGTTCCATGCACTCAGAGTCGAGCGGACTACGGTCCAGCCACCGCCTTGTGTGCGCTTGATTCCCCAAATACAGTGTGCTTGTGCTTGTCTTTGAAGGAGTGTGGGCCGGCTCCGGTGATGTAACGTGGCTGCCATCCACATGCCTCCTGGTCTTATTCCTTCGGGTTTACACTGGATATGGGGTGTGTGGTTTGCGCTGTGGGTTGTGCAGCGCAAGCCAACCATGATACCTCTGTTGGCGCAGGCGTCCTGCGGCTTGTCACAGTGACATGCAAATCCGAAACCGGATCCCGTCAACCATATATGTATGTGTGGCCCATGCTAAGGCTGATCTTACATTCTTGATGCTTCTTCTCCGCAGTTCGGCTAAACCAACTTACACTTAAACTAGGTCTCTCTAAGCTGCATTAAATTCATTTCAGTTTATTTTGTTAGGTTTGTTTATCTGAATAGTATTCTATTTGCTTGGCCCGTCGCTTACGCTAACTGCGCTTATCTTCGGTTATTTTGTCGCGTTTGTAGCATTTTTGAGTTGATGTAGACATTTTTTCCTTATCGCGGAGTCATTTCTATCCTACTTACTTCATATGCTAATTTAGCGAAGAGTTATGCCACCGTATCTATATGCATTATTGGATTTAATTTATTTTATTTTGTTGTTTCAAGTGATTTGCTGTTGCGTTATATGCCCGGTGTGGTTGCGCTTGATGTGCATGTTGACAAGGTGACTACCTGTCTATTACCCACTACCTCGTCCATACTAGCTTCACGACACAGTTCGTCGTTGCTGGACGGGACGGGGTGCACGGTCGTTGTGGCCGTGCTAGGCTCGAAGAGTGGTTCCATGCACTCAGTGTGGAGCGGACTAAGGTCCAGCCACCGACTTGTTTGCGCTTGATTGCCCAAATACAGACTGCTTGTGTTTGCCTGTGTAGGAGTGTGGGTCGGCTCCGTTGATGAAACGTAGCTCCCATCCACATGCCTCCCTGTCTTATTTCTTCCGGCTTACACTCGATATAGGGTGTGTGGTTGGCGCTGTCGGTGGTGCAGCGCAAGCCACCCATGATTCCTCTGTAGGCGCACGCATGCTGTCGCTTGCCACAGTGACAGGCAAATCCGAAAGCAGATGCCGCCAACCATTATTTATATATATATATATATATTTTATTATAATATATATATATATATATGCATGTTGTGTGCATTTTGAGGAGAGAATACGAAATTCACACACCTACCATCCCTCGACTTCTATCCGTGCCTTTCACATAGTTGTAGGGAACTAACTGCTTTAGAAACCCTAGAGAGGTTATCCATGGTTGATTGTGCCACCCAAAAATCGTTAAACAGGAAGACGATATCGTCTGCATCATCAAGATCAACTAGCCTTTCACCAGAAGGAAGCTGTAAACCAGTATTATGAAGTTGCGTAAAGTAACACACTATGGAGTTCTTGAAGAAATGGAACAAAATGGGGAAATTAAACAACCCTGACCAACACCACTTGTTGTCGGGTAGGTTTCCGATAAGTCACCATAAAACCTGATGCACCCTGTAGTGTTCGGGTATATTTCACGCAAAGTGTTCACATATTTCATGGGAACACTTTTCCGCACAAGTATTTCAAACAGAATGCGTCGATGCACTTAATGGAAAGCACTCTTGAAGTCGAGGAGCACAGCTATTTTCGGTCTGCGGTACATATTGCGCTGCTCTAGCATCTGCCTCAGAGTTAATATTTAGTCTATACAGTCCCGTCCAGGTTGGAAACCTGCCTGCTCTCCCTAATCCGAGATTCCCGTTTTGTAGTGAGACGACGAACGAGAATTGAGGTCACTTATATTGTCACAACTGGCATCAGGATAATAGTAGGGTTTTCAGTATGTTGTG